CCCACCAACCTACCTACCTGCCTACCTAGCTAGCTACCTGCCTACCTTAAAGAACATACCCCTTAAAATCCCCTGCCCAGGCTCAACCGCTCGGATGTCCTGGAGGACATCCCGCAGTTCAGGGTTCTTCTTGGGGTCCCTAAAAGGCGTTCCCCAAAAAGATTCCTTAAAGGCCTTCTTAAACGGGGTCCTAAAATGGGGTCCCAAAGGGGGATTACTAAAAGGGGGTTCCTAAAGCAGGGTTTAAGGTTTGAGGTTTAGGGGTTTGGGGGTTTAACCGTTGGGGTTTAGGCTTGGTTGGGCTCCTTGATTCCTTGAAGGGCTCTATTGCCTCAGAGGTGTAGGGTTTAGGGTCTAGGGTTTGGGGTTTAGTGTTTAGGGTTTAGGGTTTAGGGTATAGGGTGTAGGGTTTGGAGGCACTGTAAGGTGCGTAATGCAGGGGCCTAAGTAATTACTGATACTATTTTGGATGTTCCTTATTATAAATATAGTATCATATACCACCCCCAAGCCCTTTTTGAATAATTGAGGCCCCTGCATGAGAGGGTTGCTCAAGGGTCTGCAGGGCTTTCAGGGTTTGGAGCTTCAGCATCCCTAAACCCTAAACACGTAAACCCAAAGCCTTGAACCTTAAAAGTGGCTCTTGCGAAAAGCATTTTGCGGTTGGGCCTTTGGAGCATGAGGATTTTTTTTAGGGTTAGGAGAGATGGTTCGTAGTCGATTGAATTTACTCGTCGGAGGGCCAACACCTCCTTACTAAACGCAATTTAGGGTTTAGGGTTTAGGGTTTAAGGGTTTAGGGTTTAGGGTTTAGGGATCCTCCGCATAGAAGCCCCAAAACAAAACAAAGAACAAGCAAATTCAAACCCCTCAGGCCTCCTGGTAAGAATCCCGCTAGCGTCTGCGGTTAAGTGTTTAGGGCTATAAGCCCTGAAGAAAAGTCCTGAACTCTACACCCTAAAACTCCGTAAACATTACGCCAAAAAAACCTAAAACCCAAAGCCCAAAACCCTAAAACCTTAAGCCAGAAAAGCCCAAAGCCCCAAAACTTAAACCCTAAACCCTAAGCCCTAAACCCTAAACCCTAAACCCTAAACCCTAATCCCCAAACCCTAAACCCTAAACTCTCAGCCTTGAGAGGATCCTTCCAAGCTGCTGGAGCTCAGCGGGGTGCGGCTGATGCGCCTGGGCGAGTTTGGCGGTGTCGGATTTGGGGAGCCCTCAACTGGTTTTAGCTGGTTTTAGGGTTTAGAGGCTTTGTGGGTTTAGGGTATAGGGTTTCTAGGGTTTTTCGGGTTTAGGGTATATAGGGCTGATAGTGTTTATAGGGTTTAGGGTAGATAGGGTTTATAGTTAGCTTATAATCTAATACGCTTCCGGGATAGGGTTTATGGAAGGCTTGGACGTAGGGGAGAATATGCTTGTGCAGTCGGTGTTTTTGTCTGTGCGTTTGGTGCGCGCGGAGTGTGCGTACAGTGCGCACGCTGCGTGCGTACAGTGCGTGCGGTGTGTGCGTACAGTGCCCGCGATGCGTGCGTACAGTGGGCGCGGTGTGTGCGCGCAGTCCGCGCGGCATGTGCGTACACTGCGCGCGGTGTGTGCGTACAGTGAGCGCGGTGTGTGCGTACAGTGTGCACGGTGTGTGCGTACGGTGCGCGCGGTGCGCGCACTGTACGCACGCACCGCGCGCACCGCACGTACACGCACAAACACGTCACCGCACACTGACGCGACCCTCACCGCACAGGATCCTCAAGTGCTCCCAACAGAATCGTATTAAATTTAGCTAAGTTTATATAGGGTTTATAGGGTTTAGGGCAAAAAGGGTTCATAGGGGTTTTGGGTTTAGGGTATATAGGGTTTATAGAGTTTTTTAGGTTTTGTTTTGGGTTTACTCTAAATCCTACGCCCTACTCCTTGACGGTGTTTTAGGGTTCAGACTGTTTGGAAACCCTAAACCCTAAAACCCTAAACGGGTTTTGGGGATTCAGGCTTTCGGGCTTTGGGGTTGAAGGCTTTTTTTCGTGCTTCAGGGTTTCCATGGCTTTAGAGCTTTCAGGTCGACTTTTAAGGGCTGTA